GTGTTGCAGCGTTGCGGTAAATACTATCTGCTTAGTTTACTTACAGTCAAAAGCTCGAACGCAATGTTCTTTATCATCAATGGGTACCAATATATGTTTAGACTTTGGAGAGACTGCCATTTGCATTCGGCAATTAAGATTCAGTTCAGGGTCGCCTTCAATAGACTGAAAACTCTGAGAGCAAGTCAAGGCACACAACAGTCACCAATGACTATAAATGGTAAAATATTCATGACTGGCGGGCGAATAAATAAAACACGACCGAATTAAGACAAACCTACGCATCTGTCGAGATCCTGGTTTTTCAACATTACTGACCGCCAATAAGCTTATCTTAGCTTAAGAATTAATAACCTCAACTGTAAGAAAAAATTCGTAGATATACCATATAATTGTAGCTAGCAAAATCAAAAAGTCATTTCTTAAAAGGTTTTTTGAGTCGTTAGATAAACAATTGTGAGAAAGGTGTATTCCTGCATAAATTGACGGCAACTTCCCTGCACCTGTCGGTTCGTAAATTGAACGCGGTATTTTATCTGCCCTTGATGCGTGATCACCGGTGGGTCATTAAGTTATACCCCGTTCTCCCATTATATATGCCTTTCAAGGTGTCATTTTGGTTATTAAAAATTGTTTTTAAAGGCAAACTGCACAACAGGCAATTGATCACCTGTGGCTTATTTGTGTCATATGCTATGATCACTTCGATCTTTTGACAAATCGATGAAAACACGCAGATTAGCGATCGCTCGATAGCTTTCTTACGACGGAAGATCACGGATTTAATGCATATAGTAATATGTCCACACAAGAGACAATAATTTCTTGGTCGAAATCGCCGTACATTATAAGGCGAAACCTCTTTTCAAATAAACTGTCACTTCACAGGAATACCACCCACTGTTAATGGTGCGAACTGTTGTTCCCAAAGGCTTACCACCCACTGGTCTTAGTGCGAACTGTTGACCTGAGTTTAGCCTATCTAAATGAGCGATCAAGCCTGTTTTAATAAACAGGTCAAAATAAGAGAAAAACGCTCGATGTTAATTAAAGAAGATGTTAAAATTTGTTGTTATGTATTTGTTCGGTGGGTTTTAAGCTCTTGTCAAAGCGTGAGTCTCAGAACTAAACAAACGGATATAACAACAACGTCAAATTTATTTTTCATATTTCTGAGAACCCTGAGTATCTTGATTTAATTCTGAACTGTTTATAAATTAAAGCACTTTAAGCACCATCTTGAAGATTTGTCTATAACTGAAGTCGCCATAATGCAATGCAAAGCATCGCAGAGATTCTGACCAAAACGGACCTTTGTTAAGAGGGGACCCGACTTTGGAATCAACTAACACCATAAAACCAAGAAAAATATGTTAATGCATTTATTGATTTGAAACGTGCTTCTTATTTCTTTGGTAAATTGCTCTCAAAGAAAGTGTCAACTTCGTAATTCAGGAGGAACTTTCTCCTCCAATATAAATGACAAGAGATATATGACCGCAATGGAATACTATAAACAACTGTAAACAATAGAGCCATTAATACAAGGAAAAATGAGACGCGTCTTACATAAGGCGCAAACTATCTCGTACAAACGGCACATTTCGTCTGAAATATAGCTAAGACATGTCTTATCTAAGAACAGCCCTTAACAACTGTTCTTAGATAAGACGCGTCTTATGGGATAGTTTGCGTCTTAATCAGGACTCGTCTAATTAGACTTTCTAAAAGGTCCTTTATTTTTTTCCGGGTTGGTTGTCCCATTTTAAAGGACTGTTCATACCTGTTTGGCGCCAAATTTACCTGTCGAAAATTCTACCCATGACGTCATGACCATTGACCGATAGGACAGTGAGTGATATTTTACATATGTCAATCACTTTTTTCCCGCGTGAATTCATAATATGACTCAAATCCATCCAGGCGAAACAAGTCGACCTCGAGACTTCGAGCGACCTCATACATTATATTGAAGCTCGGTTCGCTAACTTTTTAAAACTTATGAGAGGTCGACCTGTAGCAAGTCTAGCGTCTGATGAAAAACGCGTCTCATTTTGCCTCGTATAAATGGCCCTAATATTATATAGAGCGATTTTCGCATCACCTTGAAATGAAAACAGGCGAACAAAACAGAAACAACAAACGAACGGAAATTGAGCGATTTGATTGGTTTATCGAACGGATGCAAACGCGCGTGGCTTTTGGTTGGTTATAATGGTCAAGCGAACGCTCGGGTGAAAAAATGTCATGCCTGAGAACTTTCTGGAAATCAACCGATACTTCGCTTTGACGTCATGCTGCAAAACGAATGGTCAATCGAGCAATACCTTCTCCATATAAGGGTTTTCTTTGGCGGGAAAACGAAGAGTCCATGTTTTGATCTTTTCATCCATTGGCTGATAAAACAAATAACGAACACTTACTGAAACCATTTTTCAAGGTCATACGAAAATCGCTCTAATTCTTCTGATATCCATTCGTTTTGTGATTTTGAACTTGAGCATTCAAAATTGTTTATTTAACTTCTCCACCTATAGTATTTACATAACCACACCCTAAATAGTGCTAAATATTCGTTTCCAAGAAATCACTCTCACTACCTCTCTCAGAGGGAGGCAAGATTCCAACTGCACACGCGGCGTTCCGTCTTCTTTTTGAAAAATCCATTGGATCATAACATGGGTGTGTCGTAGTTCTGTTACGAGACGAAATTGTCTCCTCGTCACTATGTTTACTGCAAGGTCCGTTGGTATTCAATACCTTTTTATTGGATAAAGGGGATCCTTTTCCCTGTGAGTTAGGAGAAATGGTTTCCTTTGAATTGAGTTTGACTGAACCATCTCCTCCATCTATACTATGGTCAGATGGCAAGCCATTAACCAAATCGTCTCTTTGTCTCAGATCTTCATCTTGTGGAACAGTACACAAAAGAGAGTCCGAAAAGGATTTTCGTTTCTTTAGTGGGCTTATGGTGGGATATAATTGATTGCTGTCCAATTCCTCGGTTGACCCTGGGCTCTGTCCCAGTAAAGGCCTTTGCGATGAATTAAATGAGTTTATATCCCCGTTTACTATGATTGGGGTGGCTTTTTCTGTAGGCTGTTGAGAATTCGTGTCTTGAAGAAACCACTTTGCACGAATATTGTCTTTTTGTAAACGTTCCAAGGAATCAAAGGGATCCGGTTGCGCTTTGACAGTATTCTGAACATCTTTTTCTTTCAGATTATTTCCAATTGGAGAATGCGCCCGGCAAAAAGGTTGAACCATGGCAACTGATTCCCGATCTGAATTTGGCCGTTCAGGTGAAGGATTTGCATTGCAGCTAAATTTCTTGTTTTGGTTTTCGGTGGTCATTTGATTTGCACGTGATAAGTCACGTGACAATGCATTAGCTTGCTGCTGCACTTCTTCTCCTTCTTCAACTTCTTCCTGGACGGATTGACGTGGAAGCTGCAGCGTCCCGGATGTTCGCCGTGGTCTTCTCCTTGAATATATGACCTTGTCCGGTTGGCCTGTAAAGGGGGCATCAAACTGTATTAAAACCTTATATTTTGTTAACCTAGGGTCACGGCTTTTATTCCTCGGTGGTAAAGACCTTTTTGACCAACGCACGTCAACTGGAAGTGGACGTACGTACGCCAACCAGAAGTGGACTTTTTGCATTCTTGAGCAGTGGTTTTGCCCAATTTTGCGGGCAAATCTTTTCTGTAGGAGTAAAGACACTTAGCGATAGAAATTTGGTATCGTCAAGGCGTATTAAAAGGGAAAAGTTTTAACTTCCGGTTGTCGTGCGTGCATCACTCAAAAAAATTAGGGACTTTAAGTGATCGACGCGACGTCAACGAGGACGTCTAACAAAACAATAGGTTTAATAAGCAAAACAACAACTTTGCACGTGCATCACGCTCTTTTGTACATTTCTTTGCCATTTTTGCACGATGATTACGACGTGAAAATGCCTAATTTCCTGTTTTATGGCACAGAGAACGTAAATAAGCAACGACGAAATTATCTTTCGCTTCCTGATGGTCCCTTGGAATTCAAATTCGGGAGGGTTCGCGTACATTTCTTTAAGTCCCTTATGCCTTTTACGGCCTCTCTAGTGTGACCTTTCAGCATAATTAATAGAGTGGAACAGTTATGAACTCCGCCAGACTCTTTTGTTATATGTTTTTGTGGACTTGAAGGTGCACAACGATCAATAGCATCCCTTATATACCAATAAATACGTTGCTTTAATTTCTTCCGTCACAATTTGATAGCAAAGAAAAGAGGATTGTCAACCGTTAGGAAGCTTCCAGCGTAAACTCCCAGTGGGGTTAGGGGGGGGGGGGGGGGCTTTTTTAAACCCCGGGGGGGGGGGGGGGGGGGGGGGGGGCTACTTTAGGAATTTCTGGGTGGGGATGTGCCGCTGGGACCCTGGAACCCTTAACCTATACCAGAGCTAGTGCAGTTGAATTTTGCTACCCTATACTGGAGTAAACTCCCCAAATTCCTCCTATCCTAGAGTAGCTGTTTTCCAGAAACTACTGAGGTCACTAGCACAGTCTAGGCAAAACAAAACCTTATACCACAATCCCTAGTCTGGATAAAATCTTCAACCAACTGATCAGTTTCCTGAAAAATGATACCCTATTCTAGACCAAAATGTTCTGATTTATATATCCTATCCCAGAGTAAACTGCTTGAAAAGCCCATATATGGCAGTATCCCCCCGGGGTGTAAACTGTAGCACCGTTGCTTTTATCTTTGATGTTTGCCATCTTTAATAACCAGTCTCCTACTAGGCGATTAAGACTGAATCCATCAGGAAGTTGAGGAATTTCAATTTTCAGAGGACAATTCCTTGTACCAGTACAATTTAAAGAACATCGCATTCTTTTTTACATTTTTAAAGGGCTATAGATATAATTAGTTATCTGTAATAACACCAAAGACTATTTGTCATGGGAACCCGAGAAAATAAACGTCAAATTTCACATGAATTGTGAAAACGCGGGTAAATTTCTGAAAAACTTCATGTGTAAGATGTCATTTTGTAAAATTTGACATTTATTTTCTCGGGCTCTCATAACAAATGTTCTTTTTTGTTATTACAGATAACTTATTACAACTATAGCCCTTATAAAAAGGTAAAAAAGAATGCGATATTGTTTAAATCATTCCAGTACAGGGTTTTTTGTCCACTGAAAATTAAGCGATTACGCAATTTCCTAATGGATTCCGTCTTAATATCTTTACAAAGGGTGAATCCTACTTTCTCACCTCTCGGTTGCATCTGAGGACTGGGCCTCAGCAGAGGCGATGTGGTACCTTTCTCATCCTCTTCTCCGACCAGTTCTGTTTCCGAGTCATGCGCATGCTTATTTGAGACCCTACGCAGTTCAAGCAAAGGGCTGTGAGGCATCGAAGATCTGAGCGAGGTACGCTCGGTTACCATGCTCATCTCTGGGTCGATACTTGGCACTGCGGCCGACTTTTTCTTCCTACGGGAGCTTAGTTCCTGGTGCTTTGTTAACAGTCCCGGAACACCCCCAAGCACTAAACGATGTTGTTTCATCGGAAGCTTGAGCCTCGCTTGCGCATGCGCATAGTACAAGCTGAAGTTGCTGCCGATGACAGAGATTGGCAACGCAACGATCAACACGCCACAGACAGCACATGCGCCACCGATGATTTTTCCCGGCCATGTTTGCGGGGTAAGGTCACCGTATCCTACGGTTGTCATAGTAATGAGGCACCACCAGAATGACTGTGGAACGGATCTGAACTCGGATTTTTCGTCGATCATGATTTCAATGTAGTAAACTATGCTAGAGAACATGACAACTGGGATGAGGAGAATCAACAAGAGAAGAACTAGCTCATGTGAACTTGCCTTCAGTGTGTGAATCATGATTTGTAACCCGTAAGACAGTTTCACAAACCTGAAAAATGAAAAGTGTTTATACACCTATTAGCTCTTAGAACTGGCCTTCTTTGAGTGAATAAACAAATACGACATCATTGTTTGGTTCAGCGAAATCACACACGCGAAACGACTCTAAAATCGGTTCATTACTCCCAACCACGACATCAACTGACTAGCTATAAATGCTGTGCTTTTGACTTTAGGGCGCGCGAACGCTTGTATTGTTGCATTATATTTCAAGTTTTGACAAACCCTGATTCCTTTAGCTACTATGAAGAACAAAAGTACAGGAAGAAAGAAAACGGAGAGGAAAAAAGCAACAGCAACAAAAAAACAAACAATCAAAATAACAAAATAGATAACGATTTTAGAGGTAGGGCATTTTGGTTTTTGAGGAGAAGGGAAAACCGGAGTGCTCGGAGAAAACCATTTCATGGCAAAGAAAAGAAATAACATTGAATAAGAAACGCAACGTCGCCGGGATTTGAACCCGGCGGGCCACATTGCTGGGAGGCGAGCACTCCCACCACTGCGACACCCTCGCTCCCCAAAAATAAAAACAAAAAGTCAAACTTCAAATAACACTTAAAGGGGTAGGGGACTGGTAGGAAGGGGAAAAGGGAGGGCTTTTCTCCCTTCCCCCCTCTCCTTTGTACGCCTGCGGCAGGTTATGTTCCGAGAGCGTCGCACGTTAACCGGAAGTGGACTTTGCATTCTAACTGAATAATAATAAAAAATAATAAATGTCTTTAGTATTTACCAAATCAGTGAATAGCACTTTTCGAGCGTTTTGATTGGCTGCCGTCACTCGGAATATAATTATCCTTGGATATTCACTGTTTTGCGACAGGAGCCAAAATGGATTCTCACTTCGAGGCATTTTCTGAACACGAAATTTTAGCGATTAATGAAGCAGTCGTACAAACAAATACCAAGAAAGCGTGGCTTGTCGGTGTTTACTGGTGGGTAGAAATTTATTTTCATGCACACCCACCACTATTCACTTTCGGAGGATAGTTGTATATTATTTCTCATAAGATAAAAACTACAATTTGGGAGCAGTTTTTCCTAAATTTTCAGGCAAGTTATCTCCATGAGATAAAAGATTTACATTAGGAGGGGTGGCGAATGGTACTTCGAAAAACGTGAGTCTCGGAAAATTTTGGCAGGATCTCGAAATCTCGGAAGCGTTTTTGATAAGTCTCGAAGTCTCGTTTTTGCATGGTTTGTTTTTACTTTTTTTGAGTCTCCAAACTTTTTAACAAAGAGTCTCGGGCTCGGATTTCTAACTAGGATCTCTCGGCGTCTCGGCGAGTCTTGGATTTTGCCATTGCCACCCCTATTAGGCTGTAATAATTAGGTAGCGTTAAGGTATGTTAAAAAGGCAAAAAACCTCATTTTAGGTTAAAGTGCGTCGCTCAAAAACGCTTTTACTAGGAGTAATCCCATACCTGAATAATCGCAGCACTCGGATTACAAGAAACATTTTCACCATATTATCATGATAGAAATACCCAACATAGAATGGCAAAATCGATATCAAATCAATCCAGTTCATGGGCTTTTTAACGAATTCAATTTTCTTCGGGCAAAATGTCACGCGGATCAGGAATTCCAGGGTGAAAAAGCTGCTGCAGACGATTTCAAGAGCGGCCAATCCTTCTTGATGTCCCATAATTTCTCCTTTTGTCTCCTCGCGAATTCCAGGTAAAGTCGAGACGCAGAATGCAGCTATAGACAGGCTTATAAAGAAACAGGAAAGATATGACACAACCTGTGAAAGAAAATGGAAAGCAAATGATTGTGTAGCCTGCGAAAACAGCCGTTTCGCCTTGCCTTTTTGACATAGAAGGACAGTAAAAAAGGGCTCTAACCAGAAGGGCCATATGATAGCCTACTTTACGCGACGAGGGTTAACGCGAGGGGTTTTTTGTCACTGAAACTGGAATTATTGTTTTAATTCATATTTTAGAGTGCCTTACCCTCCACACGGCAAGTGGTTTATCCTTCTTAGTTTACTAAGGAAACCAATAGACATCTTTAGCTTCCCAATGTAGGTCCGAAATTTGAATGCAACAGTTCTCTAGAGTGTTATCCAATTATCGCATGACTTTCATTAGAAAAAAAAAAACAAAAACAAAAACCAACAAGCTAAAGAGGTCTATTTTATTGGGCTACCGTCCTCAATCCCAGGCTTTTTGGGTATGGGATGGTGAGGTTACAAAGTTTAAATGGAGCGGTTACATAGTCATGGGATATCGCGCGGGATTGTTTTGAATCTGCGAAAGATTCAGCTGAAAGCACTATTCAAAACTACCCCCAAAACGTCAAAAAATACGCAGGAACTTTGTTGAATCGACAAAAAAAGAAAAAATAACGCAGGGAACAGTTTTATGTGGGTAAATACCCGCTTCGTTACTTGTAATATGGATTTCTGTGTTGATGTGCCACTGGCGTGATTTCCCCGGACGGAGATGTGTCGCTGGAACAATGGCTCAAAATGTGGTAAGAAATCTATGTGTCGTTTTCTTTGAGTCCGTTTGAAATATAATTATTGCACACGAGGGATTTGATTTGTATTTTCTACAAACTGCTGCTCAAACGGCTCAAAATAGGTGGTGATAGTTTAACTAAACATCACATATGCATTCCCTCCGATCAAGCTATGTAAGTGGTTTGTGATGCAGTTCTCTGTCTGGAAGTCGCTAGTTCAAGTAACCTAGCGTGTCTTTGCTTGCGCGACCCCTAAAAAAATACAGTGTTCTCAAGGTTTAATGTCGGGCTTACATCTTACATGTTTCACAATCAATTCGTAAAATTACTGCTCGCGTCCGTTACTTCCTACGTTCTGATACAACATAGCACGTTCTAAAATAACAACACCTAATATGCATACTATCAGCGTCACTAGGCGTGTCACGCATGCGGTCACGCCATTACACAAGGTATTAAAATCCATACATGGCCCTATACACAGCTGAGTTTGCACCATCTTTTAATTTTTTTGTATTCCATTGCTGGTTTGCAAGTGGCGGCCTGTGGGAAGTAAACTCCATTTTCATATAAATTCTTTGAGAAAAACTCTGTCGTATTGACCACTAACATGGCTGCCTTGTCATGTGATTGCAAACCAAGGATTATAAAAGTAGAAAAACATGAATAGAAATTAAGTGATAAAATGTATAAATGTATGGGGTGGTGTGGAATCTTGCCCTTTGTACTGTTAAAAGTACTAAAGTGGATGTGACACACCCAAGCGTACTGCTACCATTCTCTTACCAAAAAGGGGTGTTACATGCAGTTTGAGCTCAGGTTGGGTGCTCGGGTAGATGTAGGTGGAAATTTATTGACAAGCCCCAGTTATTCGAAAGGTTGATAATGCTATTCACTGGATAAATCTCTATCCATTGTGTAACACAATTGGTTTCCCTAATATTTACCTTCTGGGTACTACTTTGTCTGGTGGATGGCACTAACATTAAAATTGAACAACTGATGCCCTGTCTTCAAATTTGTATCTTGTTTTAGGCAAGAAAATTGCATATTTAAAATTATGCGGAACCCTGTTCAGGAAATAGGCCAAATTTTAATGCTCATTGTAGATCATTCTTTAATGAAGACAGAGTGACTGATGGGTTAGAGAGCTGAACTTGTAATCTGGAGACCCAGAGCTCAAGTCCCACCCTGACTGCCGGCTGGATTTGTTCTTGGTAGTCCCGAGTTCAAATCTTTGGCCGACCTTGTAAAAAAGCCAACTAGTTTGCTTCCTACCAGTTGGGATTCTTAACCATGTTATGTTACATGTGAATTTTTTGTTTCATTATCCCTGAAAATCCCCACAACACTGCTGTATGTTCAGCATTATACCCTGATCTGGGAAACATGTTAAATAAGATACCCTGTTCTTACATGTAGCTCGGGTATCAGGCATTTCTGGGGGAAAGGGTGAAGAAAATAGCAAAAAAGAGAGGGCAACGTGGCTGAGTGGTTAAAGTGCTGGACTTACAATTCAGGGGCCCTGACTTCAAGTACCACCCTGACCGCTATCTGGATTTGCTCTCGGTTATCCGAGTTCATATCCTTGGCCACGCTTGTGAATAGCCAGCTGGTTTGCCTCTTGCCAGTTGGGATTCGTAACCCTGTTAAATTTGATTTAGATTATTTGTTTCAGGCTATTTGCTTGGTCCCACTAGCATTAGTGCTAGAAATGCAAATATAACAGAAGTTATTTCAAAGGGGAGATCTCACTTCTCCTTTCTCCTAACCCCAATGGAAGCTCTGATACTTGCAGGCTACCCCATTCTAGATGGGGAGTCTTAAACTTAGGAACCCAATGGGAACCACAGACATGTACCCATATGGGTATTTTGAGGGTGAACTCTTGTTGGGGATAAGCTTGAAGGGAATGGCGGCATAGTAAAGAAAAGCATTCTTGAAAGTGGTGTTGGAAGAGGCAATAGGCGATACTGATAATCAGTCAAAGAGACTGTTTTTAGAAGAAGAATTGGTCACAGTCACCTTGAATTACAATGTCAATGTAAAATGCAAATCTTTGTTTATAGTGTAAGTGCACCAAGTTTCTCTAGCTTTTTACTGACACTCCTCTCAAAAAATCACAAACAAATAATCTAAATGAAACGTAAGATGAGTAAAAGCTGCAGTTGCCAGAGGGGATTTCTGTGCATGGCTGTGGAGTTGAACCTGGGATTGCCGATAATTAACTCGGCTGGTGGTTCCTTTTAGTACCAAGAAAGACCAAGAGGGGAGAGGGGAAAGTATGTGAAAGTACTGCTAAAGAGGTTCATTAATTATTTGACTGGTCACACCATAGAATTTTGTCTATATACTCCAAAGTTAAAATTACATACAAAACAAATAGTACCATCTGAAAGTGCTGCGAAAGAGGTTTCATTTGAATGGTAACACCACAGGATTTCATCCACAGACACAAAAGTTAGAACTACGTACTAAATAAATAGTACCATGTGAAAGTACTGCTGAAGAGGTTTCATTGGAATGGTAACAGCATAGGATTTCATCTACAGAGTCAAAAGTTAGAACTACGTACTAAATAAATAGTACCATGTGAAAGTACTGCTGAAGAGGTTTCATTGGAATGGTAACACCATAGGATTTCATCTACAGAGTCAAAAGTTAGAACTACGTACTAAATAAATAGTACCATGTGAAAGTACTGCTGAAGAGGTTTCATTGGAATGGTAACACCATAGGATTTCATCCACAGGCTCAAAAGTTAGAACTACATAGTAAATAAATAGTACCACGTGAAAGTACTGCTGAAGAGGTTTCATTGGAATGGTAACACCATAGGATTTTGTCCTCAGACTCAATAGTTAGAACCACCCTATAAGACTCTGTCACTTACTCTGTCAATGACAAGGTTAAGATTAGTCGGTTTTAAAAAGATAGCTTTTGCATGTTTATCCCTGCGCCTTTTAATGTGATATGGGCTTCGGTTTTTGTTAACTTCCAGAACGAATCAGTTTCAGAAAAAAAAACTGCGTGTAAGTATTGCGTAAAAGACTTCTCGTAATTTCTGAATTTCAATTTTTAAATCCCAGATTTTATGACAAGTTTAGCTCACAAGTGTGTGGGATGATGTCTTATTGGAACCAGAAATATTAAAAGAGACGCTGAGATGGTCTTAAACCTTGTATTTTTCCGGAAATTCGGGTTTTCAAGTGGCTAATCTGGTTGTTATGTCTTAGTCCGAGTCATCAATTCCCGACTACTTTTCTGTTTTGCTGTTAGTTTTGTCTTTCGCTATGCTTTTCATTAAACTGTATATGGTGGTTACATGTAAAACTTCTTAGTGTGTTGATAAATCCTGATGTGAGACCATCGAAAGAAAAGTTATGACAGGCACTTTCCGGTGGAAGCTTTTTGCTAAAATTTGAAAGGAATGATTTGATGTTTGACTCTGCCCTTGGAAACCTGAATGCAAGATTTACACTTACTATTCAATTGTATGTTGTGCTTTGTTTTTTAAATGTTTTGCTCAATAGATTTGAGGATTTTTTGCAGTCTTTATCGAGACTGAAAGCGCTTAATTTTAGCGCATTTAATCGCGCGAACAAAAGACCTCTAAGCGCGGCGCTTTTAATGCAAACAAGTCAACACAATACAATTAATAACGTCGATTACATTTAGTGACGTAAACAACACCTGTTTCACTGTGCGTTCTTATTGGCTAACAAATTGACTGCTTTAAAAACCTGAATTATATTAGCGATAGTTAATTAGAGATACATCCGCCATGATGTTAGCTCTTGTGGTCAAATTCGTTTTCCGATCAACCGCCTGCTTATAGCTTGATGGTAACAAGAGCTAGCTTGTCGCATATTTGCGATAGCGTTTAATGAATTTTTTTGTAATGGCGCTCTTATAAGTATCTTTCTGTTTATTTTGAGGAAATTGGGCTCTACTCTCACTACCTGAGCCTAATGCGTTTATACTTTGATAATGCATCCAATGTTTACGCCTATAATATCCTAAACTTCTTTGTTTTTTTTTCTCTGAAAAGTGGGAACGTTCCATATTTTCCCTGCTTAATAAAGAACACGTTTGCCTCGTTGGTGATATTTACAACCCAGACCGCATTTCGCGAAATAAAGCAATTTCTTTTCCATTATCTTTACTATAAATTGCCAAATGTGCAAACCGGATAATATTTATCGATTTCCACCCAAAGAGTGCATTGAAACACGCTTAAGTGTTATAGTTGCATCCTGGTCTTTGCTTTGTAGGAAAAAAAGTAAATAAAGAGATTTTACTGTTTACTGTTCAATCTTAAAATGCTTTTTCAGAATTGGCTGAGAAAAATAAAGGTTGATCTTTTGTCTTCGTTTATAAAGGAAAAAAATGAAAACAGTGGCGAGCGACTCAAAGAAATGTCGAGTTCGAGAGGCAAGTAACGAACATCATTAACGAAGTCTACATATCTTTATCTTCGGAACCTATTCTTGAAAAAAAAAAAAAAAGATTAGACTATTTTGCATTGAGGATTGATTGTTGCGGGCGTAATTTTCGCAATCTGAATGAGACGGTTCCAGCGAAACTAGCCGCCTGGGGCGTAGAAACCACAGTCAAGAGCTCTATTTCCTTAAATTTTGATAGAAATAAAGAAAAACGGGTTTTAATTTAAATTGAATTTACTGCCATTGACATATCTTGATTTTTTTGAGGAGTGTCTGGTTTTTCCCTGGTACGCAACGAAAACCACAAATAAGTTTTATTGAAACGTAAGCCGCAAAAAGCCAAAAGTTAACAATAATGCTATTAAAAAAGGTCGGAAGTTTGTGCATTTGTAATGTTTCGTGGTAAAATGGGGGAAAGTAAAGTAATAAAAAATATAATAATATAATCTAAAATATAGAAGAGTGAAATAAGAATAAACAGCGTACCTTCGCCAGTTGCGATGAGTGCGGCTCGTCCATAATATTCCAAATCTTTGGTTGTATTCTTTTCCAAACATTGTCCTTTCGTTCATTAATGCCAGAGATATCAGACGAAGAGCGCTCTAGGTCATTTTGTTGTATATCTTCAAACACGGGACCCACAAACTCCTTTAAATTCTCCTCTGCTTCGCGGTGTTTCGTATACGTTGCCCAACAACACGGCTCCATTTGTTTTTCGTCGATTCCCCAGAAACCCAACTCCTCTTCAAACATTGGTCCACACATATCCGTTGGATAATGCAGTTTTCCAGTTCGATAGTAATTTAAAATTTGTGTAAACGCGCCGGGGTGGCGGTCGTAGAAAAACTCACGTTTTTCCGAGCTGTCTGATAAAACGTTTTCTGCTATCCAATAAAGTCGTGTGTCAGGGATGTTCTTGAGTGTTGATACATGCGTCTCGTGCCGAAATCCTCCAACGTTTATCAAAATTCTCGATTTGTCGGACGCGTCAAATTGTGAAGTTGTGCCCATCCTGTATAACTCGCGAAGTTATCAGTTGTAAGACCGGCTGCTCGAAGTCCAGCTACAATATCCGATAGTATTCTTTGTTTCTTCCAAATTTTTTTCTTCCACGAGCAAAAAATTGTGTGTTTCAAGTTGTTCTTTTCCGAGGTCAAATCATTCGGCAGCTAATCTTGAAGTCGGCTCTCCTAGATACCCTATGGGATGTAAGATTGAAAACAACACTTCAGATGCGGTCGTATTTGTATTGCTCACTCTATGACACGCGCAGGTGAACTTAGGCTAAGCACTGCTCGTCGAGATGCTTGCCTTGATAATTTCATTAACGCATCAAATTTGGCTTGAGAATTGTACGTAAATTTATCAAGCTATCTCCAAGTACTTTGCCCGACGCGTTGCTAGAGAAATAAAGAAACAATAATCTGGGTTTCAGTTCGCGACTGCGTTGAACCGTTCGCTTACAGTTTTGAATATTCTACTTTTTAAATAGATCCATGAACTCGTAAATATTGCAGCAAAGAAGTAGATTTAGACAATGGATTGTTTACAAATTGCTACCAGGAATCAAAAACAGTCGAAAATCCCAACTGCTCCGATCATTAAGGTTGATAATAGTTTCTCCGCAATCGACCAAAACTAGAACACTGATTGAAAATAATAAATGCCTAAACTAACCAAAAATTAAATGAAGTAAATTAAAATTAGTATACCACGAAGAATACCTTTTTCTCTCGCATCTTTTTTCATATAACGTGCACTATAATTCGAAAATTTTCACGTTAGATCACGATCAACCGATTAGTAAAACTGGTGCAGAGGCATCCCCCGGAAGAATATTTTAATGTTTCGTAAAGTTCCGTGAGGCTGGCTTAAATATATGAAAATAACTTCGACTGTGTACAATAATATTGCAACCACCAGTTTGCTAATTGAGTGCCGCGCCTGAAACAAACGTTAAATCGATTGGTCCAATGAAACGATGAAAAAGGCTTTTAACCTTTTTTTTTTTTTTTCTATCCGCGTGTTTTTTTTCTTCAATAGCTTTCAGTTGGAGTAAAGTGTGTAAAATAGTTTTGCATATACTAAGATTCAAGGTTCATTTACCAAATGTGTGGAGGGAAATTAATTAGATTTATTCATCCTTTGAAAGGTGCTAAAATTGAGGCAAATGGCGCGGAGAAAGAGATCGATAAAATAGTAAAGAACTGAAGACATAAATAATACAAAAGGCTTTTACCTGGAATTGAATATTCACGATTAGTATGGATTATTGACAGAGTCTTCATTAATTTAAAGGGGAGAGTTGCTTTTGTTTCTTTTTCAAGTTGCCTTTACCTTCCAGATGTAAAGAGATTAAGGATAAAAGGAAATTAAGAAACTAAATAACTAAATTCTGACTGTGCATGGAATTTAGAGGTTGTCAATTATTTTGTCTTTTCATTAGCGCAGTGCATGCAAACTCGACCGGAGGTAGCAGGAAGCGATTTTATGCTCTCCTCGATCGCGCCTCACACACAGTTTACAGAAAAGGACCCACTCATTTTGAAAGACAAATAGTACTACGCGAATTTGCTTAGAATTGGGTTTCACTTAAGTAGTCACACTGCAGCATTTTGTCAAGAAAATAAATAGTTAAAACTGCAGTACATGCCTTAATGTATCAAGGGATTGAAGCTTAAGGTTAAGATTTTGATTAAAAAATAGCCGTGGGACTCTGTAAAGACGTAATTTTTTAAAAAATGTTTGCTCGGTCTCTGATTTCACAGTCTCGTCTGTGACCACGGCATCAAACTAGGATTTGTCACATTTTTCCGCTCTTGGCAGTGAAGAGTGATGGTCGTTCCTTGTTAATAGGGAGCTTAAGCAACCGTGACAACGACAATGACAACGTCAAAAAATAAACAATTGGTTTTATGAGCAAAACAACACTGGCTCTGAACGTGAATCACCCTTTTTAGTACAATTTTATTTGGCGTCCACTGCACGACTCTACGACGTGAAACCGCTCGTAATGCGTCGTTTTATGCAGCACGTGAATATACGATGACGACTTGTCCTTTCTCTTTTTGAACCGGGATAAAGTCCTTTCAAAAGAATTCGACTCGATCCTTGAAAAATCGCTCATATATGACAAATTGAGGGGTTCCAAGATAGACGCAATAAAGTTTGAAAGGACGCAAGTTTATTTTTTTTATCGACTGGACGCTTCACTGTCGTCGTCCTCGCCGTTGCTTGAATTGCCTTGAATAACAGTCTGTCGCGAAAATTCACGTTGTAGGGAAGGCATTTACTAATCATTTTCACCTTTTACACCCTCTCACTGACGATAGTGTTAAAGATCGAAATTCAAACAAAAGTTGAAAAATACTGGGAATCACAAAAGCCCTCGAAAAGAGGTTTCATGTAAATGATTACATCATAGATGTGATGCACTGATATGTCACCATAGGCAACTTCGATACTAAAAGCGTCAATATTTTGGTATAGAACATTTTCGGATGTTAATCTGTTGTGTGGAAATTTGGAAACTGACAATTATGGCGATGATCATGTATTATGTAATAAGTCAACACGAGTCACAGTGTTTCATAAGATTTCAAACACTAAAAATAAGAGCTGAAACTGAATACGACGCGTAGCAGAGCATTTATGACGAACTTAAAATGTTTGAACCGCGTTGGTAAAGAACCCTTATTAAAGAAGAAAACGACATCCGTTTTCGCAAGATGCCCGCATATCTCGTTTTGCATTATTTAAATGCCATTCTTTTCGAGCTGTCATTTTCTTCTCGGTATGTAAACTGTTAAATTTAGCCTACACATTTGAGTTAACGTTTAAGGCTGTGTTTGAAACAGCTACTTTTTAGTTTGATTTACGATGAAAGCTACTGGGCGGCACTTTTGTATACGTCTAGTGCTGGCGCGTTTTGTTCACTTTTCTTCAAGATTATAAAAGCGATAACGCACTTATGTAAGTTACATGACGTGTTTGATTTACCTTTTGAGATAAGTTGTTTAACAATAAAACTTAAATGACAAAACCACAGTCCCTATTTAGTGGTTTCCGTGTTGACCCCCAGCCAACAGCAGATTGTCAGTGATATGAATTATTGCTGGTTTTCAAACATGTTTTTTCTATCTTGATAGTACATGTGCTTGTGCAAGAAAGATGTTTTTGAAAGTGAAAGCTTTTAACCCAGTAAGCTCCAGTAGTGATCAGTATCAAATTTCTCCTCACAGTGTCATAGCATTGTTAAGGAAACAATTCATGAGATTTCAGACAGTGATCTTTTGACCTCTTCTCCCAACTTATGCGTTTTGGTGGCGGCCATTTAGAAGAATTTGATTCGTGCTTGAAGCGTGTACGATTTTCATGCGTTTTACAGTATTAAATTGTCCAACATCAAATAAGTAAACATATGAAATCGTCTTAATGCGGGTTAAATTGAGACCTTTAGCCTATAGTGTTTGTTATTAAGGGTTTAATGACTTGTAAAACTAAAACACTTCAAAACTATTCTAGGTGAACGATTTACTTTTGCACGAGTTGTATGCGATTGATATTTTGCCAAAGCCTCTTGGAAAAAGGAAAAAAAAGGTTATAAAAATATTCAGTCACGGAATTGATATGTGTGTGAATAAATTTGTTATTGTAGTAAAACGAAAGAATCTGTTTCCAAAATCCTAATGTCTGATTTTGGTTCCCAAATTTCATGTGTCCATAAATGACTGTGTATGTAAGTGATGCTCTTTCAACACCATAATAATGATGTTCTTAGAACTAGAAAGGTAATCCAATCACACGCTCTCGGATGCATGCATTTACCTTTCCTTGAACATAAACTGCTTCCTCATATTTTGAATGGTCACTCTATAGAATTTTGTCCACTGACTCAAAAGTTAAATCTATGCACTAAGTTAAAAGTACCATGTGAAATGGACACAATGAGTACATTGTAAACTACCACAGGTTTTATTGGTTTTCGCCAAATTTGAGAGTATAACTTCAAAACGTGGGTCCGTTTTTCAATTTAGCTTTCTTCCAACTCTGAGTCAGAAGTAAAACGCAAATGTCAGAAAAGGTAGCCTGAACTTTCCCAAATCCCATATCTTTTGCTGTCGTCTTTGGTCAGAGACAAATGCAAAGGGCTTGAGCAGTGCATTTATTCGAAGTACTTCTCGACGAAACTGGAATATTTTGCTTGTTGTACTTTATGCGTCTTTAGGTTTTTTTGCTCAATGTTTCATTGTAATTTCTTATGTGTAAACAAGTATTCCTGCATTTGTATATATTTGAAGGATTCCCTTGTAACTAACATTTCGTTAGATTTTTTTTTCGACCGTCTTTTTTCCACGAGAGTGTTTTAACGGGTTACAACTCCTAAGCTCTTCGAGGATAAATTAACTATGTCTATACTTAGTATGTCTTATGCTATGGCGCGTTTTGTTGCCGTAAACGCATTTTTAGGTTTTTTCAAATTTGAACAAATAAAAAAGTATATATAGAGATACCTTTGATGCTTTTTGCCGGTCTGTTGCTGAACTGTTAACAGTATTGACTATCTAACAAAATTGTACATACTCTTGATGGCTTAGTGCAGACGTGATCAGCGCGGCGATCGGCGAGTGTTAAAAGATGTACCTGTCGATCGTAATGAAAACGGAAATAAATCGAGATTAACAGTACGTGGTTCTCTTAAGCCTTCATTGGCACTGTAATGTTCTTGATGTTTCCTGGATATGATAATAAATGATTCGAACATTCTACTAAAAGGAAATAAATGGCTTTTGATGCGTTCCCCACGCCGAAAAAAACGTTCAATTACTTGTGATTATTCAGCTTTACCTGTAATGACATAATGTCATTTTATCACCGAGACACGATAGTGTAACTTCAATCAGTCATTGGTTTTGGTCAACCAGCCCTGTTTCCCTATGGAGTACACTTTTTATCTGAACCTAGCTCTGTTTCCTTTGCACGCCACGACCTATAACATTTTTAAACTATTT